ACACACACACACCGACAGTTACAAACACATACATGCAAGATTTTCACACAGATAAACGCTGTTACACCACACAGTACTTCCTTAAAGATGCAATATTCTCTCTCACTTTCACTGTTGCCAATGCAGAATGCAACACACACTTTCAAAGTCCGGTAATTATGAAAGTCATAAATGGAAAATCCCATTGAAACTTCAGCCACTTACTTAGCCAACATACAGTAGTTTTAAGTTGAGAGGAAGTGACCCACCGTGTGCCTGAATGCTGCCACTCTGAATTTCTCTGTATGAATCAGATGGGAGAGTCTCTCCTAAAAGTCACAAAAGAACAGCACTTATTAATCTCTGCCCAGTGATCAGATTAGCACTGCTGTTCATTTCATAACTTCAATAGCACTTTATTTAAATAGAGCTTTGAGTTTGCATTGTTGTGAGCACTATATCTGAATGTGTGAAAGCTTAGTGCAGTTAGCTCATATTTTACTAGGGATGGGAACAAGTACTAAAGTAAGTAAAGCTCAAGTCATCAAAAACAAGAATTTTGTGAGTTTACAACACATTTTGATGCGCTTACCTTAAAAGAAAAATGGTCACTCCTCATACAGGAATTGTAATGAAACTGAAAGTGGGTAGAAAGTGTGTGGTGTGTGTGATCAGTGCTGAGAAAGACTGCAGTCTCTTTACCCTGTTCTCTGCCTGTAGTCTGGGCCGATCCATTTAGCTGATGCTTCTGACGATTGTATATATATGCACTCACAATCACAGTCAAAACATATGCAATATACAGCCCCAGATAACCTGTGGAGAAAGAAATATTAATCATATCCATATACTATGCAAGGAAGTGGAACATGCAGAATGAAAAACGTGTTATTTTACTAAATTAATGAAATGATGGTATAAATAAAGCGAATAACGGTTATCGGACCCATGGCTTCTCCCATGGAAATATGGCCTTTATATAGGATACTGAAGGTCCAAAACACAGCTGCCATGTAGAAAATGACATCACGAAGGAATGGACGGGACGCCACAGTGAAAGGCTTAACCAGAGCAATGCTTCCAGCTACCACTGTTGTAACAAAGATTCCCGCTCCTAGAAAAAAAAAAAAACACACAAAATCCAATTAGGAAAATGTTTTTATGATTTATGAATCTGTTCAAAAGAATTAAAGGTGAAGTGGGTAATTTCTGCAGCACCCAATGGTGCTGTATAAATATATTTCAAACACTTCCCCTGTCTGCCATTGTTCAGACAAAACTATGGTTGGATCATGTGCATGACTCAAGCAACCTGCAATTGTACAATTCAATTTGGTGCCTTTATTGGTTGGGAATTACAGTTTACCTTTAAATACTCCAACACATGTCCTTGATGTGTGTGTGGGTGTATGTTTAACAGAGCTGATCTCTCACCAAACAGTGCTCCAACAGCAAGACCAGCAGTCTGAGGGTGGGAAAAAGCAGCCATGGCACTGAACACATCTGGAGCCCCATTTCCAAGTGCCAGGAACGTTACGCCCTGTTCCACTCAGTCACGGAAAACAATGGAAAAAAAATGGGACCGACACAACCTCTCAGCGCAATTTGGACCTTTTCCAGCAATCAAACCCCAAACTCATCACTGAGGATTCCACTCAGTCACACATACTACACACCACTCTCAGTCATGCATACACTTTAATGACACAAACACACTTTGAAAACACTTCACGCTCATGAACAAACTTCAAGGAATAGTTCACCCAGTTGATGGCCCCCACTGACTTCCATAGTATTTTTCCCCTACTATGGAAGTCAATGGGGGCCAACAATTGTTTGATTACTAGCATTCTTCAAAATATCTTCTTTTGTGTTCAACATAAGAAAGAAATTATAAAGGTTTGGAATGACATGAGGGTGAGTAAACGATGACAGAATTTTAATTTTTGAGGTGAACTATTCCTTTAAGAACACAAAGAGTACCCAAGTGTTAAACAAACACTACCCAGGATGACACAGTCTTGGCTAACACTATGACATAGTAACAGATTAACCATTTGATATGTCTAGTTGTTTAGCATGCTGTAATATTCTCTTCACTCCAGGACCCAGGAGTTTATCACTTCTGTGGCTGATAAGGACACAGCAGGAGTACTTAACCTTCTCAACCTATGCAATATGAGGACAAATTACAAGCATCAGCTGATCAGCCACATTTCAGCTATTTAAAGGATACGGCCACATTATGAGTCAGTCTCAGTGTGGAGGAAATGGCTGAGAGGTTTGGACAGAAACTGAAAAAAATACAATAAAATCAAAATTACATTACATATTATAATTCATATACATTTAAACTCAAATTTCTGTTCTTTATAGAACAAATTCTAAATACATCGGAATACATTTTGCAACATAATGACAAATTAACTAACTTCTTGAACCTCAAAAAGCAGAACATTTTTAAAATAAAGAGACTCAACTCTAAATTCTCCAGATAAATGAAAGACATTGTCTCTGTCACATGAGTAAATAGAGAAGTGAATCCTAGGTCATGGCCAAAGACTCGGCTCTATTGATAGTGTTATGAGATCACAAAGGAATATTCACGTTTCTAAAGTACTGCAATTATTATTTTTTTTTTTTTAATCAGTTACTAATTTTAATTGCATGACAGTCCTGATTATTAATTTAACTGCATAGTGCAACTGGAATACAATGTGAACACACCAATTCATATTTACTTTAAAAGTAAAGATTACACATCTGTTTACCTTTTAGATTACACCTAATTTGTTCAGGCTCTGATTATACAACAATTTGTGAAGCATGTTGCTAAATATGAGTAGACTGATGGACCATAAAAGAAGATATTTTTTAAAAAATTTTTAGCATTTTGTTATCATTACAATGGAAGTAAATGGTCACCAAAAAGGTTTGTGTGTGTGTGTGTGTGTGTGTGTGTTACGCACAAGAAAGTCAATAATGCAGGTCTGTAATGGCATTAGGTTGAGTAAATGATGAGATAATTTTTATTTTGGGGTGAACTATCACTTTAAGACAGAACTGACCACCAAATAGCATGTCCAAGCAGATTAATAACCCTTGTAATTCTCTCAAATTCACCACTCACAAGTCTGATGCAATCAGCCCAAGAAGAAGGAACAGAGCAAACAACCAGATGACCTGACAGAAATAAAAGAAAAGAGGGAAGGAAAGAGAAAACGTGAGACGTTGAGAGTGACTTTAACAACATACAAAACCAATACAACCAATATAAAATCAGATTACACATCCTGGATGATGCATTATCATTTGTTTCAGTTGGATATGTAAACAGAAACATGTCACACTCCACAAACAAACTTGCAACACTCAATTTACTGGTATGTAAACAGTAAACCCTGAGTTTGGTGACTGAACTAAATGTATCCTTACATAGAGTGTGATGGCTAGAGGCAGCAGATTAGGTGGGAACAGGCAAAAGGTGACCACAGGGTACTTGATGAAGCCTTCATCTGAAGTACAGTCCGGTGTATTCTTCACAAACTCACATCTCTGACTGGCAGACAGGTTCATCACCACATCACACTGCAACACAGATCAACAAATGCAGCTGTGCAGGATTCCATGCCAATAGTCAGACAACACCGCTCTGAATTTATATAACACAAAGTTTACTCATGGTAAGGAAAAAAAAGAGCAAAATGTATATGTAACATTAATGACAGATAATGCACATACAGCGTCTTTTTTACTCGATCATATATTTCAGAGTCCAGCTCACCTCGTCTCCATTGCGGTTCGGTGTAACTTCTCCAGGTCTGTCTGAACGCCAGACATTCCCATGAGGTACCAGCTGTGTGTTGGACACGTAAACAGATTTCTGGCAGCTGACACGATCCCATTGCAGAGCAACGGTGCAAAACAACACTAAGAGCAAAGCACGCATTTGTAGGCCGATACTGCTTTAACATTGCTTTTCAGTGGTCAACACTAGTAGTTGAATTGTGGTAGATCGACGGCAACTTTCGAGGTTCCGTTTCGCTCTTCTCCTTCAGTGTCATAAACTCCATGTATTTAGAGACTGTGAATCACAATCTGTGGTTGGATCTAAAATAACGAGGGATTACACATTGTCTCACAAGAGAGAGTCGACCAAAAGGGAAGTGTATCAGCCTGACAGGTCATTCCAATACTTCCTATACAAACAGCGTGACGAGTTTCTTATCCTCCCTCCCTCTGTCCTGAGGTTAAAGAGACATTTCACTCTTTTCCACTTAAAGGAATAGTTCACCCAAAAATGAAAATTCCGACGTTTACTCACCCTCATGTCGTTTTAAACCAGGCCCGGACTGGCGATCGGGAGCACCGGCCTGGCGGCTGCTTTG